CGTAATCGGTGTCGACGTTGTCCTAGGCTCACCGAATCCCTTTTGCCCGTTGCAACCTGGACGTGTATCGTTATGCAATTGTACAATGCTCGCGGTGTTGGCTGTACCGCCCACGCGTCGACATTTAGTAAGCGCGTTTAATCTCCGCGGACATGACGTAAAGTCCCTTTGTTCCGCGACACGGTCCACGATACTACGCGAGTGGGACGTCAAAATTTCTCCTCTTATTGTTCGTTCGTTCGGTTGCAGCCGTCTTAGAGCTGGACGCTCATCTAACGAGCCAAGCTAGCAAAGTGTCTGATGATTATCTTCGATGAAATGTCCAAAGAAATGGGAAGTATGTGTTTGATTTTTTAGTTCTGACGATTGGAGCTTAAGGGGGTGTTCTAGTGTGACGGTTTCAAAACATCGATTTTTATTTTTTTGCATATGTCGAAAGTGCAACTCTTTAAGAATGTGCTCCTGAAGATTTATAGTTGTATTCAATAAAATAACGAAGTTATAGCTCGTTCAGTGCGACCCATCAAAGGCCGGCGATAGGGAGAATGTAAATTGCACTGAAAACTTTAAACGCGTTTTTCTCGCTTTCCGAAATGGTTGCCACGATCTGGCAAAAACTACTGAACCAATCGAACTCAAATTTTGCACATGTCTTCGGAACATGTGTGGCTACGATCGGTAGTAGAATTATGCCAAAATACACATTTTTCTGATTTTTGGAGCCTCTGAAAGGCGAAAAAAAGTCGAAAAAATCGATACTTCGTATTCAAAGTGCCGTCATTTTTTAAATTTTCAATATTTTTCTTTTATTCTACTACCGACCATAGCGACATGCATACTAAATAAGAATCAATTGGATTTTTTTACTTCTGATAAGCAGAACAGCTCAAATCATGGCAACCATGGACCTACTTTTTTTTTTTTCATGCTCCTGTTTGACGTGTTCCACAGCAGCCATATTTAATTATTTTTCAACAAAAAAAAATTTGTAATGATTCTTTAAGGACAATTAAATACATAGGAAAAAAGCTCATGTTAATAACTGTTACCGTACTTCTGTAATAAATTAGCAAAGAAGGCCTAAAAAAGCGGCCGTCACGCTAGAAGACCCCCTTAAAGGGTGGAATGAGTTCTCAGAATTCTGTATAGTGAATATATGAAAATTGGGAGTGTGTATAGTTTATAGAGAAAGTGTTCAAAGTATCGGGTAAGTGCAAATATTCCGTCGGTTTCTTACCTACCAATAATTTCAATCCATCGAATAAATTGTGATGAAAGAAATTTTGAAATAATTCTGTACTTTGATAACGAAGTCAGAAATCGTAGTGAGAATGTATCCATCGATAAAGTTCACATATCCTACTTGCTACATGGGTTTAAAAATTTAGCCAACTTTTCATTGGTTTTCTGCATTTTTCTTAAAGTGGGGAAGTGTGAACTATCAAAATGCACTCGATTCGAGAAGGGAATCGTAAAATTGTCCACTACT